AATTTGCAGGTCTGAACACTGCACAGTTAGTTCACACAGGCCGAGGACATTCAAGTCAAAGTTTGTTTGAAAAACACGGGGGAACCAGAGGAGTCCTATCGCAAGGGCTGACCTCCATGTTGGTCAGATGGTTTCCAGAGTGGTATCTTGCCTCCAAGCAATGTGTCTTATAAAACAACTAATAATGTAAGTAGACTGAAAAGTAAAATAGAATGTGAGTTGGGGTGTGGAGCTTCGCGTTGATAAGCCTTGTTATTTAATTGGAGCCGATGAGGCAAAGTGACACTGACCCTAGAAATTTACGAAGAAAAGGACAGGAGGGATGGGCCGATAGTGATAGAGATGACGATGATGATGATGATGATGATGAGGAGGAGGAGGAGGAGGAGGAGGAGGGGGAGAAGAAGAAGAAGAAGAAGAAGAAGAAGAAGAAGAAGGAGGAGGAGGAGGAGGAGGAGGAGGAAGAATAGGAAGCAGAAGGGAGGAGCAAGAGGAGGGCGAAAGAGAGGAGAAGACGAAGGAACTGCATGTAAACATCGCGGTCACGGCATCTTACCGAAGTGGAGACGCCCTTCACTGGCAACTTCACGTTATTTCATTCCCCTTAAACGCACTTTCTATCCCAAACATCAAATTAAAACTAATCTAATTGAAGATTTGGTAAACAGAAAGCCAATCAATCATTCCTGATGGGTGGTTAAGAGGCAGTCTTTCCAAGGGCTTGGACGTTTGTACTATGGACCAAATTCATGTGAATTAAAATTGATTCAGGCTAAAATCACATGGCTACACTCGTGGACATTGGTGGTGGTGGTGCAAGTGGCATTTTTTATTGGCCTAGACCACACATCTCAGGTAGAGTGAACAGGTAGAGTTCCGATCGAAGAAGACGTGCTAAGCAAGAGTGACACGAAATTAGGACGATCAAAGTAACTTGTAGACCTGAGCGGGTCTCAAAAAGGACGTTAAGCATAACAACTGTTTGTCATTTACAGCAAGAGTCAAAACACAGTAAAAAAGGAGGTACAAGAAACCAGGATATCTTACATAGTGCATATGCACTCCTTAAAAGCTTGCCGCCACGAGAAAAGCAGTGCGATTTGAGCAGATTTAGTAAGAAACTCTCCAATTTCGTGACTTTGACTAAGGAGGTGGCAGAAACCGGTTAGGGGTGGGTTACAAAGGAAGAACAAGGGAGTTCCATCATAAGTGAACGAAGGAAAGATCTCGAGCATGAGAATCCCAGGGACTCCTAGTCCAGCCTTCCACCCTAGCAACAGTAGCTTAAATAGTTAGCTCATAGAAACATGCAGGATAACTAGCGTTTGGTTTAGACGCATCGATAGTATTCGTCAGCGTCGTCTAACTAGCCATGTCTCCTCCTCCTCCTCCTCCTCCTCCTCCTCAATAACTAACGCCGCAATCTGTGAGCCAACTCCTGGACAAACGCCACTACTACAGAGAGAGAGAGAAACTTCCCAGTTTGAGCCTCTACGACTAGCTTCTACGGCCAAATTTGTGAAGAAAATCAGGGCACGCTGCTGGATCTCATCGTCTCAGTCTTGACTTTACTCTGCGGCATCAAAAACATCGTATTTTGCAGCTCAAATAACGAAGGCATTCAGTTGACATAGACAGGCAGTTCATCGCAGAGAGCGAACCAGACAGTCAACTCGTCCCCCCCCCCTCCTTCTTGACGTTCGTGGGCGTCTCTGTGTAAACTCTGGGACGCCAGCCCCACTGTTTTGGCAAACGCCGAAATTTACCAGCAACCACCTCCCTCGTATCTCACACACACATAGTTGTGCTAGAGCGTCCTCTCACTGGTCAAACCACGTTTCGGCCTACCAGCTGGAAACAGATGCGACCGACTATGACCTCGGGACACGTTCAGGAACAACCGAAAAGAGGCAATTTTGTAGAGCAGAAAGCGCCGAACGGACGAGTGAATGCAACAAAAGGCATTAACAGTCTGGAATTCCTGGGGGACGGCCCATACACTAGGGGCTGTAGTGTGTCATCATGTGGTGCGATCGAAGGACCCACTGTCGCTGACCGTATCTTCCACAGCCGTCTGCGCCAATGAGGCTTGAGGGGGGAGAGAGTGTAGAAGATTATAGTTCAATTCCCGCGTAGGTCACCGCTGCTGGGCTCACTCCGTGGGGCACTTTCACTGGCTGAATTATCAACCGCAACTACGTTGGTAAATCTGGACTAAAACTGTAGACTCACAACTGGCAGAGAAGACCGGAGCCTGGCCGCACTTTGGAAGC